CCTGACACATTTAGTCCTGTTTTTGTCAGGAGTCTCCCAGGAACAGTGCTGGAGAACAGGATGGTAGGAAACAGTGGCCTTCAAGCAGGTGCTGGATGCCTCCTGAGATGATATGATCTTGGTCTCATCCAGCTGTGCAGAGAGGAAACCTTCATCTGAGGAAACACAAGAATAAACCAGATTTATTCAGTGGGAACAGTTTCAAATAATGATGACATGAAATGAAGTCTACTGACCTGAGACATCAACATGAACAGACTTTGAGTTTTTATCTGTACTCGTGCAGGTGTATGTGCCGCTGTGCTCCTCTCTCACTGATCTGATGAACAGGTAGGCCATCTGAACAGCGAAATGTGAGTCATTTTTAATGCACATCTGGAAGAAAAAAAAACCCATAATAATGATCATTTGCAGGATGATTATCAGTGAAGTACTTTGTGTCTCAGACTGAGGAATATTAAAGAGGTCGGTCAGTTTTCAGACAAACATAACAAGAAAGTTTAAGGAAACTCTCCCTGATTACAGGACATTACTGTACCTCCTCCTCCTTCTCTGGTTTACGTGACAGTGTCCTGTCATGGAGCTGTTTTCCTCCTTTCTCCCACACAGGTGATCTCAGACCGTATCCTGTAACTCTGCAGCGAAGCAGCAGAGACTGACCTTTGCTCAGGGTAACAGTAGATACCTCATCTTTGTTCATTACGCTGCTCTGTAAGTCTGAAACACACATCAGGGCCTCAAATCAAAAATATATTTTTCAGGCAGAATTTGTCATTTGCTTCTCTGAGATTAGTTGGTGAATGTCTGGATAAACATTGTTTTTTCAAGTATTTGAACCAAATTTTACTCAAATTAACTACTGTAATAATTTATGGATAAATTCATTATGGATGTATTAAATTTGTTATGAATGAATTTAAATCCAGTTACCGTAGTCATACAGTTGGGAGCACTCTTGTCCTTCAGCATTGGTTGCACAGCACATCATTCCTCTATTATAATATTCACTGCTTGATATTGTGCTCTCTGTCTTTCTGTCGCTTCCCTTTAAACTCTGTTCATGCTTGTTACTGTTCAAACAGAGAAAAAAAAATGTTAGTGCTGTAAAATTATATTTTCAGAGCGCTGTGTCTTTGACATACATTATTATCAAAGCTTGTCTAATACCCATCTATCCCAACCACCCACCAAAATAAAGCATCTCTCCAAATGATTCAGTCTAAAATCAGACATTAAGAAGTGCTGCTATTCTAAAGTTTGCATACAAATGTAAAGGACAACATCTTACCCAGACCATTTGATTGTGGGTTTGGGGAAACCCTCAGAGACACACTTAAAAAGTGGGGAAGTATCTGGCACATCAACACCATCGAGCATCAGCTGTGGTTTTGTTGGACGTTCTAAACAACATCAAAGAAAATTTAAATTCATTGTATTATCACTAATTTATGGTCAAACAGAGGTTGTTTGAGTATTATAGAAGAAAGAAGGTGAGAAGCTGTTACTCACTCATTACTACGTCAATACCATCGAGCATCAGCTGTGGTTTTGTTGGACGTTCTAAACAACAAAGAAAACAGTTAACTTCATTTTATTATAACTAATTTATGATCAAACAGAATTTGTTTGAGTATTGTAGAAGAAAGAAGATGAGAAGCTGTTACTCACTCATTACTACATGAAGAATCACAGTCGTGGAAATGGTGGCATTGTTGGATTCACAGGTCAGAGTGTACTCCCCTGAATCTGTCTCAGAAAGCTGTGATGTGACCATGGACTGACTCCCATTTCTGCTGAGGTTAAAGGAAACGTCTCCGTTTACATACATAAAAAGATAAAGCACCCAAAAAGAAACACAGACGGTCACTTACACTGTTATTAATCGGTTTTCTCCTCTGATCCAGTGGCAGACAGGATATCCAGAGAGGATCTCCAGGGAGATGATGAGTTTCATACCCACCGCCAAAACTTTACTGATGGGACCAGATCGATTCTGATAATCAGCTGGTAGCAAACATTCTGCCTGAAAAACAAGACCCACCATTTAATCCTCCTTTATTAAGCAGCAATAAAATAATCACTGATGGCAAGATGTTAAAAAAAATGCTTTACAAAAACACATAAAAAGGTTGATTTAGCAATTAATTGTCTGAAGTTGTAATAAAAGCTGAGAGATTGTTAATCACCAAACCAAGCATGAACATTGTTTATGTTTACATATTAAGACAAAATAAAAACACATAAATTATTAGACTATATAGTTATTTAAGAAAAATAAAGCAAAAATGGAGAAGCATTGCATAAAAACCAAAGTAACTATTTATTACTTCCACAGGATTTAAGAGGTTTAAGTAGCAGCCAAGTGCTGATGTTTAGTAATCACGAGCACCTGTAATAAAACAAATGTTTCAGTGGTTTTCTGGTCTGGAGCATTGGGTCGTGAAAGTGTAACAACATCAACAATCATCTCAGAGAAGGAATTGTTGCTCCCATTCAATCTGGGAAGGGTTACAAGGCCATTTGAAATCCATCACTCTACAGTGAGAAAGACTATTTACAAGTGGAAAACAGTCAACACAGTTGCCAATCTTGCCAGGAGTGACATCCCAGCAAATTCACCCCAAATTCAGACAGTGCAAACCTCAGAATCAGCAAGAAGCTTGTGAGCTACATGTAAGTCTCTACTGGCTTCAGTTAACATTTTAATTATTAAAGTTCACGACAGTACAATTAGAAAAAGACTGAACAAACACAGCTTGTTTGGAAGGGTTGTCAGAAGAAACCCTTGTCTCTCTAAAAAAGAACATGGCAGCACAGCTTAGCTTTGCAAAGTTGAACAAATCTGAACATCTGAACCAAGACTTCTGGAACAATGTCCACTGGGCAGTTGAGACCAAAGTGGAGACGTTTGGCCGTCATGCACAGCACCACATATGATGAAAAACTAAACACACCATATCAGCACCAACACCTCATACCAACTGTGAAGCATGGTGGTGTAGGGGTGATAATTTGGGCTATAAAATGACTGATGACCTCACACAGAAAACTATTATTAAAGCTATTGCTGTTTAATCTTGGGGGTCTACTTATATTTTTAAACACAGCTTCGGCATTTTGACTCAGTATTTGTTAAACAAATAATGTCACTGCTAAGGGTCAGATGATTATTTTAATTTGTCCTGTCATGTAAAACCTTAGAAACAAAAGCGGGTATACTTCATTTTTCACACAACTACATGTGTGGAAATATTAAACTATGAACTGGTTAAAAAATGTACATTACGTTTATACTGGAATAAAATTTGGACTCAGAGTTTTTACTGAAATGAGACAAAGTGACAGATTTCAAGAAATGAAACAAGAGTACCATTTCCCCCTGTGACGTTTTAGATCATCTTGTTGCTCTGTATTTTTGTGTTTCTGCATACTCATAAAACACTGACACTGTCATTAGTGAAAATAAAATACAGCTACACAAAGTGTAAAGAATATTTTCTTTTGTTTATACAAAAAAGGGTGCATTAGTGCAATTACTTCATATTGGAGTTCTAATGGTTTGTGCATATATTATTTACAGTTACTATGTGTCAGTTCAGCAATTGTGCAGCAGCTACTAAATTGTGCTGTTTCCCCCCATTATTTTCCAGTTAAAGCAGCTCTTACTTCATCACTGGGCACACATGGTGGGGTCTTCCCATCATCAGACAGTGCCCCAACAGCACACAGCAGCAGAACAGCTGGAGATACAGAAAATGAAAACTTCAGTTCAAACAAATGCACATTTCCCGAATTATTAGAAATTTACTGGAAAATAACAAGTGAAATAGGAATTGATTATTTAATTTTAAAGAAAATACAGCATAAGCAAATAAGCAAATTTGAAAAAAAGCGCAAAGCAACACTGTCATGAGGACAAATGAACTGATGTGTTAAGTATTTCCTGTGAATTTATTAATGGCACAGTAGAGTTTTTTTTTATTATATTAAACTAGAAATGTTAAACACTTCTAAACTATAAAAATCACACAAAGTGTAATTTGCGTGTTTTTTTATAGGGACACACACCTATTATTTCTGATATTTATTTTCTTCCTGAGATCATCATCACCGTCACCTTATATGAACTACAAATGTCAGCCTTAACACTTGTCAGTCGCTGCTGAGCCTTGAAGTTCCTCAAACTGAAAATTTAAATATTGATGTCAACCCAATATTTTATATCTGAATATTTATTTATAACACGCCATTTTTAATTTTTGAACCCTAACTGTTAAATGATAAACGTGAAGCTAAAAGTTGCACTACTTCAGTGGCAATAATTCAGGCCACAAAACAGGGATTTGAAAGAGTCTTACTCACCCGCAATCATATTTTGGTGCCTTGGCATTGATGCGTATTTTCTGGCTGGTTTACATGCTCACTCTGTGGCTAGACTGCCGTACAAGACGTCCGTATGTGCCTTATAAATAGAGGAAGTATAAGACCATTGGATGACGCTGAGAGCCTAAAATATACACGCAAGAAACTACTGTTTTCTCGTTATTGTTGGGGATTTAAAAAATGGAAGTACAATCATTTTTTTCTGCGTGTTTTTATTAGGAAAAAACTGAAGAGGCTGGTTTCTACGTTATCAACATGACAGAGAGGGAGAAGAGAGATATTGTATGCATGCTGGGAAATATTTGTACCATAATCCAGTAAGACCAAAAATAAGAAGTAATTTATTTTTTCTTTCTCTTTTTTTAAAATTTATTTTAAAATGTTCTACAATGTTTCCATCATTTTCTTAATTCTGAATGATAACCGCGCTAAAAAAAAAAGGAAAAAAAGAAAAAAAAAGAAAATTTCCCCCTATATCTTTGTCAACATCAGATACCTCAAATTTAGTTTGCATCCAGCAGATACAATTTGTTTTACCCACAATGCACAGCTATGCTAGCGGCTCTGTAGCACAGCACAGAGGCTGCGAGCGGAAAAAACAACAACAACAGGCTACTTTGCGAAGGCAGCTGCATGGATAGCGACAACAACAAAAGCAACAACGACGACCAGGATTTCACATGCAGTCATATTTCCTCAAACCAAAATGCTCCTTAGCCTTAGAATGTGAGTACTCTGGGATCTTAAGTGTTTTCCACCACCCGAAGTGACATTAACCCGCTCCTTTAAGTGAAAACTGGTTGAAAGCTAGCGGGCTAGCACGCTAGCTTCCTGCATCTCTCTATGTTTGAGCGTCTTCCGGCAGCAGTGGCGGCAGCAGCAGTGCCATGAACAGTGGACTCCCACCTTCAGCTGCTCCGCTCGGGGGTGCCGGGATACCCAATGTCAAGGTGAAGTTTTGTCGATACTACGCAAAAGACAAAACCTGCTTTTATGGAGATGAGTGTCAGTTCTTGCATGAGGATCCGTCCTTGGCGAGTTTGCCGCTGCACGGCGGCGGCGGCAGCCCTGTCCCGTTGTCCATGGCCGGGGGTGGTGGGACGCCAGCGGGGTATTCCCTTGGCGGCTCCGCGGCGGGCTGCCCGGGCGGTGGGGGCACCGGCGTGCCCAAGAAGAGTGAAACATTGGGGCCTGCGAGTACGTCTCTGGAGGGGCAGCTGTTAACCAGTGAGTACAAATGACTGTAAACCAAGGCCTCGTGCAGGGTGACTGACTGTGACTTTACTTTCGGGCCTCATGGAGCTTTGTTAAAATTTAGCCCGAGGATTCACTGAGGCCTCTCAGCGCCAAAACAACGTGGTTTACTTTTACTTGCCAGACATTAGCAAAACAGCCCAGCGTGCAACTAGCATATATCGCGCTCTTTAGCTATCGTCTCACAAGTTTTGACTACACGTTGTGTTACCAGTATCTTAAAAACACAAAACATGAGCCATGCTGCTGTAGCCGAGGCCTGTTGTGTTGTGTGACAGCTGTGAGTGGGCAGAAATCCGCGTCCCACTAACGTTAGCTCCTGCAGCTAATAGCCAGCTAGCGTTAGCTAAACTATGTTTAAACTGACTACTTTAACTTATTCTACCTGTTTGGGTTTCTCCTCCAAAAAGGAGAAATGGGTGTTTTTATCAGCACTTTGCATTTTCTTCTTCACTTAACTTAAAGTAAAGTTTAGTGTTGTTCTCCAAGTTGAGTCTTTTCTAACACTAGCCTACCTACGCTAACGGTTTAGTAGGCATTGTTTTTGTGTGTTGTGTTTTTGTGTTTAAGTAGCATGCACTTTGCAGTCGTGCATTAAAAGCTGCCCTGGAAGTATTACTAAAAAAGTTTGCTGGTGGTAGCTATCACCTTGGGTCAAGCTTCAGCTGCGGCTCACTGTTTACATGCTTTCAAACTGTGATTGGCTGAAGACGCGCTCAGTTGTGCACACATTAGCATGAGTGCATTACCTTTTGAACTGTGTAAGAAATTATCTCTAACTGACATGGTCAGTCTGCAGTCCTAATCTGCAAAACTCTGCTTTTATTGTCATCTACAGTCCCAGGGATGGAAGGCGCAACCCTGAGCGATGCCAATCTTACCAACTCTTACTTCAGCAGCAGCTTTATTGGGGTCAATGGATTTGGAAGTCCAGCAGAGCCTAAATACTCAATGATGCAGGTACAAGAGGGACGCTGTAGGTCTGTCACAGTAAATGTACAGTTAAACGAATTGAAAATGAATATATGCGTGTTTTATTTTGCTATGTTAGGAATGCAATGCGTGTGAAATTCTGAGTTGATGGTATACCAGTTACATTTCTGTATTGAGTTTTTTGTTATTGCCCTTTCTTTTTTACAGGGAAGCATAAAAACAGCTTCACAATAAACCAAAGTCTTCAAGTTCTCCATCACTCCAACTTTGAACATTTAGCTACTGTGAAATCGATGTGACACAATAGGTTAACGTCAGCCACTGCCATCATTAAGTTTCATCTTTTGCTGTTGGGAGTCATCGAGGCATTTACTGGCGGGTATATCGCTACATCCCCAGTCGGTGGTTTTCACATGTACGTGACTGGCAACATGGTTATGTTAGGGTTGAACCTTATTTCATTTCTTTATTTCTGTTTTTTTCTGTGCCGTATGCAATAACTTTACTAGTAGACAATGCCCTCAGGTATGTTTTTGAAAGTTCAGATGCTGCTAACGATCTAAACTCGACTCTGCAGGTGGACTGCGTTGCTTTTTGGCCAGTGTTTAATGTCATTGAGCTGCCTCTCCAGTGAGTCTCTCATCTTGCTTTTAGACCAGCTCTGAATCCTTTGTCTTGGACTGTGGCTAGTGATGGTAGTCCTTGTTCAGCTCTCTGGGAGATCTGTTGTGAGCTTGAGGGCCACTCAAACCAGAACCTGGAGCCAGGTGAAGAGTTGGTTCATGTGCTCCTATTTCAAGCTGACAGAATGCTACAGAGCAAAACAAAGAGTGACGTAACCAGCCCAAAGCAGTGAAGTTGGACTATATCCAAAACCTTGGCCTCATGAAAGAGGCAGCTGAATTTGTAGCCAACTACTTTGGAACCAAAACATTTATAGGTTTAATAAAGCAACTGGCTACCAGCAGCTCCAACCTACCACCACAAAAAAAAAGTTTTAGGTCTTTGAAAGCATAATTGGAGACTAAGGCCCTGCAGTTAAATTATTTTATGGTACTTCGTTGTATTTTGATGAACATAATTGGACGGCGGGGTGCTTTTTGTAACACATCTCCTCTGGATGCTGCTCTCCTTAGCGAATGACTACCAGCAGCAGCTCTCCCAGTCTTCTCAACGATGGTGCCAAGAACTTCAGCCACAGCACTCATGGTAAGCTGTATTGAGATATTTTTGGGGCACTAGCTGACACTCATCCACTGAAGTTTGGAAGAGGCCCTTAACACTTTGTGCTTTGCAGATCCAGTGAACTCCCCGACGTCCTCACTGTTCAGTGATTTTGGTGCTCTTAGCATTTCCCAAAGGAGAAAGGTGAGCGTACAAACATCGGGTCATAGCATTAAAGTTCTTTAAGGGTTCAGGATTACATTTTTATATAAGGAAGTACTTGAAGCCTGACAAAGATGACTTAATTTGCCTCCAACAAGACTGATAGACGACTTTTAATTTTTCCATTGTTTTCATTTGTGTTGGCAGGCTCCTAACCCGGCAGCGAGTGAATTCATCCCTAAGGGAGCTCCACGTATGGCCAATATGGCTCAGTCCACTGTCCAGGCCTTCCCCTCACCTCTCTTTGCACATCCTGGTCTCAGCAGCTCCACAGCTGCTGCCCTGGCTCCAGGTGTGGGTTTTTTGAGAACTACCCTCTACCCAAACACTTTCTGTTGGGCTCAATTTTGTTTTTCATCTTTAGAAATTGTAATACTTGAGTTCGTGAGGGATTTCCCTCATATATTACTGTGAAATTAAATCTTTTCTTAAGAAACATTTCTCACGTTCTGTCTCCTTTTTCAGGAATGTCGTTGTCTGCGGGATCTTCTCCTCTTCACTCCCCTAAAATTACACCACACACCTCACCTGCTCCCCGTCGACGCAGTCACACCCCAAACCCTGCCAATTACATGGTGCCCACCACCGCGTCTGACCAGGGTGCACACATTATCCAGAAAGAGACTGTAGGGGGGACGACCTACTTTTACACGGACAACACCCCGGCACCAATGGCTGGGATGGTACGGATACACTCTGCAGATGCATTCAGTCACTTTAAACACAACAAAATGAATATCACTTAAATCAGTCTGCATTTTTAAGTTTTGATATAAATGTGAGTCTTATTTAATAGGCTGCATTGAGATGTAACTTCATGGCCTAATAGGGACTGTAATTTGTTTTTTTTTTGTTTTTTTGTTTTTTATGACATCACAAGAGTTTCATTCTCTCGCATTCATTTACATAGCTGCCCAAAAACAATATTTGTATGATCAGACTGGTTTCCATTTCTCAATAAATAGGAAGCTGTATTTTCTCTTTTCTGGTTATTGCAGGTGTTTCCTACCTACCATATCTATCCCCCCACGGCGCCACATGTGGCTTACATGCAGCCGAAAGCCAATGCCCCGTCCTTCTTCATGGCTGATGAGCTTCGACAGGTATTGTCCTTGTTGACCAAACATTCCCCTTCTCTTCTCTGGAGCTTTATAACTGATGTCTTGTCCACTTGTTTCTTCTTCAGGAGTTGATAAACAGACATCTAATAACCATGGCCCAAATTGACCACTCAGAAAATCCAGGTAGAGCATCTACATTGTTGACATAAGGGATGCTTGTGACAACTGACCTTAAACATGCGCTTATAAAACTAAATGGCTGTTTCAGTTTCTATTTTCTATATTTACATGTAAACAAACTAGCACTAGTGCTCATTGCAAGTCTGATGTAGAGTTATTCTGTCCTGTTAGTGTGCAATATGTTGGTTGTGGGCTCTGTGGGTATGTGTTTAGTGTGTGTCAGTAGCTAAGATTGCAACTACCACAAACAC